AGTCTTGAAATTAACCTCTAATATCCTACCAATTTAAGGGATTAATAGTTTAGTCTCTCTTCTTTCTTCTTTTTTTTTCATTATGGGGGAATCGGTTCCCCCCTGGGGGTATCGATTCCCCTCTAGCATTCTGGAATTCATATTCGTTTGAGGGGGAATCGATTCCCCTTGAATGGGTACCGATTCCCCTAGCCCAGAAATCCCATTTTGAGCTCGAAAATCACCTTATTTTAGCTTAAACCTTCCTATTTCACTTCTTTTAATACTCCTAACTTTAATACACATACTTAAACTTATTTCTATTCACTAATCACTTCTTTAACTTCAAATCTAGTCATTCCTATGCAATTGCAAAAATTATACTAGTTTTGCAACATGTTCAAATTCCTATTCTAACACTTCCTATCCCTTAATTGACTTGATGACAAGTCAAATTCAACTTCTAATTCTCAATATAAACTTTATTTCGATATTTCATTCAAAAACTTCCAATCTTTAAATCCTCATAAACTCTTCATTTTGTTGTTTTAAAGCAAATAAATCTTTCCTTAATCTTACTTAGCATCTAATAATCAAAACTAAACTTAAATTTCAGCACATAATCAGCTCAAGAGAAAACTCACCTTTGCTTAGTCTTCCATGGTTGGAGAAGAAGAAGAAATGAAGAAGAAGATAAAATGCATTCATCTCCCACGTTTTTATCTCCTATTAAAGGGGATAAAAATATCTTTAATGTCAATTGACCATTTTGCCCTTTAATTCATTGGATAATTACTAAAACTTTCAGGAAATATCCTCAAATAAATCATTGAACTATTCAAGTATTCTACTTTTATCATCAAATTCTGAAATTTTACAATTTGGTCACTAACCCGTAGTTTGGGATGTTACAAATCTCCCCTCCTTATAAGAAAATTCGTCCTCGAATTTTCACTGCACATCTTAATAGGAACATATCTTCTAATGTTCTTATGTTGCTTCCCTGACTTATTCTTTCTTGTCATCATCAGAAACTTACTTTTCAATCCTTTAGTTTTCCAACTATCTTTTTCGTTTATACATTCATCTTCTGTTGCTTATCATATAAACAATAACCAGTAATACCAATCCATTGTTGTCTTTTCTCTCATTCGATTATGCATTTTTCCTTTGACCTTTCTAAAATTCCATATAATGTCACTCATCACGTTGACAGTAACATCCATCTCATCACTCTATATCATAAATCCATCTATTTCTTCATAACTCTCTAATTACCTTATAACCATACCAAACTTGTATTTCGTCATCATTTGACCAAAACACAACTTTAAATCTTCTTCAATTGTGATTAAACATATACTTTAAGGAGTCAAACAATATTTTTCACATCACCTTGCACACTTTTCGTGTTTCTATATCGAACTTATCATTTACACTTCCATACGAATCCTCACTTCATTCACTATATCACATTTACGAAATCAAAATATACAACTATATCCAATACAATTTCATCACAAAATCTTGTTAGTCAACGCTAACTCTTTCATTCTAAAGTACAAATCCTTATCATCTCCACACTTTTTCTTATACACAATAATATCCCTTTGTTTCAAATTCATAACTCTGATTTCATTCATATAATGTTACTTATCCTGTAGACAGTAACATCAATTCTTATCACTCAACATCAAAAATTCATCAATTGATTTCTTTCCTCATTTCCTAATTAATTCACCGCAATCCAAACTTTTACTCATTCTTTCATCCTTGTCTGTATTACGATACACATAATCTCTTTATATAACATTACTTACTTTTCTTACTTCTAATCAAACTTATAATCTTCACTTCCTTATAATCCTTTATCATTTTTAAGCCTTTCATTATCAAAATCTTCTTATAACATAACTAAACTATATCTTTTCATAACTTTGATGATCAACTTTACTTGCACAAAACCTTATTCTTTATCATTCTTATACTTATGTTTTCCCCACTTGTTTCAACAATCACCAGATTTCAATACTCATCTAATCCATTTCAAATACTTTTTCTGCTTCGATTTACATAACTCCTAATAGGGCTTTTAACCCAATTCACAAAGGTTGTCTTTAACCCTGACTTATTATCAATTAACTCATTGATTAATCTTCCAATATCATACCCTACTGCTTTAGTTTGACTGACTCTCATCTAATTCGATTCTCTGACGGAGAATACAACTAATTCATATCTTGTTTACAGTTGAAAACCAGAATCTCTACCATTTTTTGATGGTTCTTAACTCTATAAAGCATTAATTCTCTTAATCATCTGAGAGATTTATTCTCCAATCCTTTCATTCCGAGCTCTCTCTAAAGCTTTAACGCAATTAACCATTTCGTGAAATTAGAATAAATTCGAAACCAATAACACTCTTTTAATTTAATGCGCAAGCCCTAAATAACCAATTACATGTATCATTCCTATCCTTTTTAATCAGAATCATCTAAGTAATAAATCTGCTTAACTTATTAAACTTATACTCATACACATGCACGTATAATTCTCTTGCTTCAAGCTCATATATTCGAGCTTATTTGTTTTATGAACTGATCATTCATGTACTTTTTCTTGAACTCTTCTACAAATGATAACCACATCACTTGATCTTTTAACATTCTTATGGTGACATTTGTTCACTATACTTTAGCTTGCCCACATATTAACGGAACTACTCAATTTAACTTCTCCACTTTGGAGAAATGAAAATCTTCTAACATTATCTTCCTACCATTTAATCAATTTTCCACAACAATGGAACATTTCTCAAATTCACCCTTGAACTCGGGTGTTCTCAACTCTTTTCAATACATTCATTCTATGAATTATCGAAGTATAAAATTAGAATATATCATAATATCATTCCACATCATGAAACATTCTCTAATCTTTTATAGGCACGCCCTGAGGTTTTTCGCTCTTCTCCCTGCCTGGCCAGGGCAGGTGAATACTATTACCTGCAGTCTATTGCCTTGTGCTTCACTTTAGAAGCTCTCATATATTCATGTACTAATATCATTTCTTCTATCACATATAACATGTGCATATGATCATCCAATTCATATAATTTAACATATGCCATTTGCATATGTTCACAGATCATCTATCATATAAACATATATATATCTCATAAATCATCATCATGTATTCACTTATCTTATATAACATAACAATTTAACTCTATTTACAAGACATTATACTCCTTACACTATCAGATCAGAATTTTTTTTTCACTTTATGTTGGCATGTATACTTTTTAAAGCACTTTTGACTTCGGTTTATGCCGAGAATCGGCTAAACCATAGCTCTGATACCATTAAATGTAACACCCCCAACCCGTATCCGACCCGGATACGAGTCCGAAGTGTCACATTGACTGTTCAAACATTTATTCGTATAAAATAGTGAGTAATTTAAATGTTATCAAAGTTTTAAATTACTCACTATTTTATACGAATAAATGTTTGAACAGTCAATGTGACACTTCGGACTCGTATCCGGGTTGGATACGGGTTGGGGGGTGTTACAATCAGTGCATCGATGCACCTGCTTAAAATACAAACATCGAATAGGATTTATGTACCGATGCATGAATAGTGCATCGATGCACTTGTCAAGGGATGTATCGATGCATGGTGTAGTGCATCGATGCATGCCTTCATTAAAAGATAAAATTAGCTTTCTTATTAGCCTAAGGAATGATAGTTTAGAATATATCAATTAGTATACTGATATGTATCAATGTATTAATATGTAGATTTAGAACGTGATCTTATTTCAGAACAATTGAAGGATTAGAATCGAGTCAAGCAAGGCTAAGGTGAGTACATATTAGAAGTATGGTACAAGGGAATAAGACTTGTGATAAGTCTAATTCCTATGTTGATTTTCATAGCACAATAGTTATGAACATGCATACATGATGATTATTATGATAAATGCATAAAGTATATATGTTCATATGATTTGATAAACGATATATGTGAAAAGACCCAAATGTACATGTGATATGATAAGTGATATGAGCTATGTGATCACAAGAGAAATGACATGAACACATGAAACATAAGAATAATGCCCATGGTATACGATATGGGAGCTATAGGTATAGTTGGCATGCCAAGAGTCGAGGGTTCTACGTGGTCTTTCGGGACGTATATGTATCATTTGGAACATTTACAGTGTCTTTTGAGACAGATCTGATCCACTAGAATATGTATATGGTTCTTAAGGAGTGGTCCTTTGGGACAAATACAGTCATAGGTTCTTCGGGACAAATTTCATAGACCCTAGTGGGACCCATACAAGCTGTGGTGATAGCATAGTGCACAACCTCAATGTACTCGAATACCTTGAGTTCTCAAAAATATACGTGGGCCTATAAAAGGTTATCAAAGGTAATTACATTATTATAGTTATATGTTATCATATTATTATTGTTTACATTGAATTGTATACGACATGATTGAATGGATAGATTTCATGTTCGTATTAATAATGAATGCATTATTGTTATATTTATATGTCTCACTTGTAGATGCTCGATTTCGTCCGAGGGCTTTATCGGAGGCTTCGTATCCAGCAAACGATACAAATTTGGACCAATAGGAGCCCAAAACAGCAGTGTTGATTGGAGACTTCAGTCCACGTGAAGTCCTGCACAACAAGAACAGTTAGCAAGCGAAAATAAGGGGAAAGTAGTGTTTGATCGTGGGAATTATATTGAGCACTAAAAAAAACTGTAAAGAGTCAGTTTTGAGGGGGAATTAACCGCTGGAAATTAAAATAGGGAAAAGCATTGTAAACAGGGGGAACCATTCGAAATAAAAGGGGGAACCCGAGCAGAAAAAAAGAGAGAAAGAAACGAGAGAAAAACACAGAACAAGGGGAGTCTCTCAGGTCGGCAACCAGGAATTAACGAGAAGGTTTCCCAATAACCATTCGAAGGGGGCTCTCAGACAGGGGACAAACAGTAAAAAAGAGGGTGGTCTCAATCTTTTCCTTCGAATTTACAGCAGAAAATCAATGTAAAAGAGAAAAGAAAGGGCAATCCATCATTGTATTAAAAAATCAGGAAAGCAATAGAAAACACGTTTTGGGTTTGAGGTACTTTCTTTTGGTTTGTTTCCATTTTCCCGTTTTGTTTGTGTGTACTGGTATTGTTTTCAAACCAAGGTAAATATGAAATAGAATCATGAGAAGATTGTTTACCCGAGTCGTGCGTAACAGAGGTTGGTGTTCGAGCGTTGAGGTTTGTCCGAGAGACCTGGCACATGGTATGAGGTTTATCTTTTAGATCGTGATTTCAAAATAGAGTGAGAATAAAGGGAGGTAGGGTGAAGATCATTTACCTTTACGTTGAGTCACTGGGGCGTTGTGCATGGTGGCCGGATTTGGGATTTGGAGTCTCGGTCGTGACTTGTGAATGGGGGAGATGAAAAAGAGAATATAGAGGGAGGGTAGAGAAGATGAGAGGAACGGCTGGGTTGTTTAGTTTAGAGTTAGGTTAGGTTTGTTATTTAGGTTGGATATATATTAAAAATTTAGAGTTAATTAGCTTTTAGCCACCGAGTCCTTAGAGTAAAACTGTCGTTTAATACCTATAGTTTTTGTGTTTAATTTCATTTTGGTCCCCAAACCGAATGTTTTCCTGTTTCCAATTTTGCATCTTTATTTTATGCGTTTTAATTTTCAGTCCCAAATGTTATGTTATTTAGTTTTTGTTATTTTAGACATTTAACTTCTGAATTGTTGCATGTTCGTTTTAGTCCATAAATCAACATTTGCATGTTTATAGTTTTGTCTCTTTATTTTACCCGCATCTAATTTTAGCCCTAAGTATTCTTGTATTTAATCTTTGCTGTTTTAGACATTAAACTGTTAATTTTCGCATGTTACATTTTAGTCCCTAGGTAAAAGTTTGCATGTATCTAATTATGTATATTTATTTTATGTTCATTTAATTTTCGTCCTAAATATTGATTTGTTTAGTTTATGTTGTTTAGATATTAGACTTTAAGGTTTTTGCATGTCACATTTTAGTCATGTGGGTATGTTATTTTAAGTTTATGTGATGTTGCATATTTGGCATAACATTTTATCGGTTTTCATTTTAGTTTTACAGGTGGTCTCAGTTTTATGTTGATCTTGGTATATGTAATGCATTGATAGGTTTTTTTGTGGTCTTTGTTTAATAGTAATTTTAGCTTTAGATTTATTTACTCATTTATTTTAATTGCATGTTTAATTAATTTTTACATGACATTATTTTTGCATAATTTGCATGATAGCCTCATTTGCATAACTCGACATATTACATAATTGAATTAAGGGTAATATACTTTTAATTTAAAATTGTTTTAAGTGGGCAGTCATAACTGATTTGAGGTATGCTTTTAATGATTTTAAAATAAAAGTGTATCTCGAAAGTGACACCAAAAAATTTGATTCGTCACCTAAAATTTGGGAACGAAAGAAAAGGAAATGTTCGTTTATTTATATTTATCGAGAAAAGGTTGTTATAGCTTTTAAGATCTGATCTCGATATTTATAAATAATGGAACATTCTTTAACTTTCTAAAACGACTTGGTAATTTAAATTTAATTTATTTGAGTGCTTTTGAATGTTTTTAAATTTACATCTTTGTTTTATGGGATCAAAAATCAAATTAAGTTCGAATTTGTAAAGTTCAATCCAAATACATTAATTAATCGATTAGGTACCGTTTTATGGCGTTGTGGGGGCGCTAATCCTTCCCTGCACGTAACCGACTCTCGAACTTGGATTTTGGTAATGCAAACCTTAATTTGTTGTTTTAATTAAAATTAATTTTTATTTAAAATAACAAAACATTTATGGGTGCCCAATTACACCCTAATCAAAGATTGGTGGCGACTCTTTGAACAATATGTTTTTAACGTAAAGAGAATTTCAAAATTTTTGAAGCGAGAGGTTTTTAAATCGCATTTGTTTTTAAATTAAAAATCAATTGGAAGAGATAAGTTAAAAATTGATGTGGTTTTCAAAATCTCACCTTTTCACTTTTAAGGAAAAATCGTTTCGACAGCTTGGCGACTCTGCTGGGGACTTTTTTTAGAGAGTCAGGCCGATAGTCGATTAATTAATTGTCTTTGCAATTGAAAATTACAAATTCGTTTTAATTTGGTTTTTGATCCCTTGTTTGGTTTTTAATAAGTTTTGTTTGTATTTTTGATTTTTTTTAATTTAATTCGATTAACAATTAAATAGTTGTACTAGTTTGTTTGCTAATGATTTCAGATTAATTGTATGAATTTAGGAAATTTTGAGTGTTTTTATTGTGCTTTTTCGCTTTTCCTCACACACTGCACAGTTGCATTTTCATGACATGAGATAAAACCCCGCTCCGTCCTAATTAAGTAGGAGTGAGAGACTATGCCCTCGTGTGGTTTTCACCTCCGCATGGGATAGTGGATCGCTCCTGGAGCTCACGCCTTATGGTCCTCGTGATGGTAATCACCTCCGCATAGACATAGGGAGGTGTGTTCCCTTGAAATTGAACTCGATCCCCTAAAGCCTGTGATGGACCAAGATTAAGGGTTCGGCAGCCCAAGGGGGCACCAGCAAGGACAATTCGAGAACCTATTACTTTAGAACCTAACCTGACATATAGTGAACGTAGAGCCTGAACTTAGGTTGAACCAAACCCGAACCTTAAGAATCCCGTGAGGAGGGTACACAAGGAAAAGCTTTTTTTTTGAGTTATTTATTTTCATTTTTCGAATAAATGCATGCGAACTAGATATCATGCGGTTAGGTTTATTTTTTGAATAAGCATGCGAATTAGATATCATGCGGTTAGGATTTATTTTTGTGAATAACAAAGCATGGGGGTAGATATCATGTTGGGTAGGATCTGATAAAGCATGATTGGGTAGCCAGCATGTGGGTAGGATTCTTGAACAAATTATTATCCCGATTTAATTGCTTTATGTTTACTAACTGATCTTTTGTTGTCTTTGCTTTATTTCTTTTTCTGTTTTGCATTGTAATATCCATTACATGGTGTTGATTTGGGATTGATGTCCATATAGAAGGCCAGTAATATGGAACGAACGATTCAGAAAGAGGTTGAAGACAATGCCGATGTTCTGAGGTGGTCGGAACAGTCCCAATTGACCAATGGGGACAACATGATGCCTGGATACGTGTCAGAGTTATTTGGTTATACTTACATCAACGTGCGTCATAATGATCTAAGTGAGCTAAAGGAGATATGGGGAAGATGGACAGTAGCCGATAAGGAGATGTTTTATCAGTTGTACAGCGATATTCCTTATCTTCTGGATGTTCCTATTGACCGAAATCTATTTAGAGCGTTGGCGCAGTTCTGGAATTCGGCTTATAGCTGTTTCACATTTGGTAGAGTGGATCTGACACCAACAATAGAGGAGTATCAAGCTTTGGTCCGTTGTCCGAGGTCCCAGATAGATAGAATATATACCAAGCTGTCAGTCACTCCTTCGTTTAAGAAGAAATTATTATTGATGACCGGAATGAGTGAAGATTGGGTAGTCAAAAATATTAAGAAGAATGGAGACAGTGAGTGCATCTCTTGGGCTGCTTTGAAAGAAGTAATTGCTCATCACCCTGATAGGAGAAAGAAGCTTGACTTGTTTGCTTTAGGGATTTATGGGCTCGTTATTTTTCCAAAAGTGCTAGGATATGTAGACGTATCAGTCGTTGACCTGTTTGAAAGATTAGACAAGCACGTGGATCCTGTTCCAGCTATTTTAGCTGAGATGTTCCGGTCTTTGAGTTCTTGTAGGCGCGAGGGAGAAAGACGCTTTATAGGATGTGCGCCTTTGCTGCTAGTGTGGATTCTGAGTCATTTCAAACATGTTGAAAGAGCACCAGGACGAGTGTTTCTAGAGGGGTTTTCGCCTTTGAAGGATTTTCTTTCTAAAGAATGGTCTGGGGGCTTCACTGAAGAAAAATGGATGGGCATCTTCAAGGATATCAGAGATGGAGATATTTTGTGTCGAGCTTCGTAGAATACCTCTTCGGATATACTTTACCGATGTGAAGAGTGAGATTGGGTTCTTTTGCCAGGTATATGGGGTTCTGTTGGGTATGCACCTCTACTAGTTTCCAGACAGTATGGATCGAGGCAGTTCATTCCAGCCACGTGAGACTTGGTAGGATCGGATTTTGCATTCAAAGGAGATCAGTATAAGGGTAAAGTTAAAGGGGTTGCTGAGGCCTGGAAACAAACTCATCGCGTGAATTTGTTCACCTATGATCTCGAGTTATCTCAAGAGTACGAGCAGTGGAGAAGCGGTCGAGTAAATGACAATATCCCGATAGTGAATCCTGAAAATATTCAGCCGATGGATGAACAGTTGAGAGTGGTGCCATCTCCATTAGAGTTAGCCAAGCGCGATTTCGAAGCAGAACAGAGACAATGGAGAATGACTTTACAGAAGCTAGAAGATGAAGTGTATCAAAAGGGATTGGAGATTGACATTCAGAAGAGTAGAGTAGATCGAATTATAAAAGTAGAGAAACAACTTCGGCTAGACTTTGACGATCTTCGGTCAACTTATCAACGAATGGTAAAAGCTCAGACAGGTTCTAGCTCGAGTAAGTCATCTGTCGAATGGAGGCAAGAGGTGGCGAGCCTCAAAAAGAGTAACCGGAGAGAGTCAAGAAGAGCTCAAGCAAAGCAGGCACCAAGTGAAGATTTTATCGAAAGAAAATGATTCTTTAGAGCAGCAGTTACAAGAGAGTCAAGCTCAGAATGAGAAGTTAAAGGGGAAGATTTCAAGTTTAGAGACTGCATTACGACGATACCGAAGCAGGGAAGGTAGCTCAAGCCATGGGGAAGTTGAAAGTCTGAAAAAACAAGTGAGTGAGCTTGAAGCCATGGTTCAAGATTTTCAGAGGCAAGCAAGTGAGCTATCGATAGTTCCTTATGAGGGGGATATACAGTGGCGTTTTCGATGGGA